TCCCTTCCCGTGGAACTCGGCCCTCTCGGTCACCCCCAGGGACACCATGAAGGAGCTCTGCACCTTGACCTTGATGTCGGACAGGGGGTTGAAGAGCGACGATTCCGTCATCAGCTCCTTGTCCAGMGGGTCCTGCAGGCAGATGGGGCCGCTGTAGGTGCGGCTGACGGTCAGCTCGGGCTGCAGGGACGAGTTCAGGAGCAGGGAGTTACCTGCGGGGACAGGGACAGGCACAGCGGGGTTGGCGGGGACACAGGGGACACGGCAAGGACCCTGTCCTGGATTTAACCTGGGATGGAGGGAAAACAACAGGAATCCTATTCTGAATTTAACCAGGGACACAGGGGACACAGCAAGGACCCTGTCCTGGATTTAACCAGAAATGGAGGGGAAACTGCAGGAGCCCCATCCTGAATTTAACCTGGGATAGAGGGGACAACGCATGAATCCTGTCCTGAATTTAACCAGAAATGGAGGGGACACAGCAAGGATCCCATCCCGAATTTAACCTGGGATGGAGGGGACAACACAGGAATCCTGTTCTGAATTTAACCAGGGATGGAGGGGAACTGCAAGAATCCCATCCTGAATTTAACCTGGAATAGAGGGGACACAGCAAGAACCCTGTCCTGAATTTAACCAGAAATGGAGAGGAAACTGCTGGAATCCTGCCCTGAATTTAACCAGAAACGGAGGGGACAACACAGGAATCCTGTTCTGAATGTCTCCAGGGATGGAGGGGACACCTCAAGAATCCCATCCCAAATCTCCTCGGGATAGAGGGCACATGGCAGGAATCTCATCCTGAATTTAACCAGGGATGGAGGGGACACCACAGGAATTCTGTTCCTGAATGTCCCCGGGGATGGAGGGGACACTCAGGAATCCCATCCTGAATTTAACCAGAAATGGAGGGGAGACTGCAGGAATCCCATCCCAAATCTCCCCAGGTATGGAGGGGATACCACTGGAATCCCATCCTGAATGTCCCCGGGGATGGAGCGGACATCACAGGAATCCCATCCTGAATTTAACCAGGGATGGAGAGCACACCTCAAGGATCCCATCCCGATCTCCCCTCTCCCTCTGGGGCTCTCAGCTCAGGATCACACCAGGCCACGTTCCAGAATGGATGAAGTGATGCAAAGATCTGACACTCTCCGTGTTTGCCACACTTCAGGCGGCTCCAGGAATCCAAGCAGGAGCCTCCCTTTGTTTTGGATTCAAGTTTGTGTCTTTGCCCTTTTTTCTCTCTGTTTTTTTTTCCCTTACATTGAACCCCACAGGTGAGAACATCTCCTGCAGACCTTTTACACAAACCCACAGCTTCACGCCTGAGAGAAACTGGGCTGAAAGGGACAAGAGTGATAGAGGGAAAACCACCACAGTTACTCATTTCAGCTCAGAAAACTCTCTGAAAAACAAGAAGGAGTGGCTGGATTTAGGGCCTGAATCCTGCAGCTGCTGGGTTTTTTGGTTGTTTGGTTTTTTTGGTTTTTTTTTTTTTTTTGGTTGTTTAGCTGTTTGTTCGGTATTTTCACAGCAGCCAGAACGAAAGGTTTTAAGCGTTAAGTCAAGCGAACAATTCCCCAGACTCAAAACAAGATTCAAACTGAACCACAGAGGACAAAGTTCCTGTTTGAGAGAGTTCATTGAGATTTACACAGCCCTAATTAAAGGTTTGGAGTTAGAAATGGATGAATGAACCTCCTCCAAACGGCCTTGCCTGCCAAACCCTTCTCCCGGTTTCTTGCAAGTCATGCAAGGAACGTCTCCAGGAAATAAAGAAAAAACAACACCACAAACCCCCCCAAACAAACCCTGCACCAGATTTCCCCTTTTCTGACGAGAGAACAGAGACACGGGGACGTTTTCACAGCCCACCCACGCTCCCTCCCACCCGCAATCAGGCAGGTCTGAGGTGGAACGGCAGCGCAGAATCAAAGCAACGTTCTGCTTTCATCGCCGCTTCTCTCCCTCCCCACCTTCCTGCCCAAAGGAAACAACATTCAAAAAACCCGAGTGCTGCTTTTAGTAACTGCTTTGTCCATGTTTTAGGGCATTGGTGCTTTTTCCCCGAGTTTTGGGGGTCTTTTTTAACCAACCACGTTTATTTCTCACAGACCTCAGTGTCTGTGTGTCACAGCAAGTGACAAAATACTTCCAGCTGAGGGTCTCAGATTATCGGGGAAAGAATATTCCCTGTTGTTGGGGTGAAGGAAAGGAATGTCCCCTTTATTGGAGGGAAGAGAAGGAATATTCCCTTTTATTGGAATGAAGGAAAGGAATATTCCCTTTTATCGGGGTGAAGGAAAGGAATATTCCCTTTTATTGTTTTGAAGGAAAGGAAGATTCCCTTTTGTTGGAAATAAGGAAAGGAATATTCCCTTTTATTGGTTTGAAGGAAAGGAATATTCCCTTTTGTTGGAAATAAGGAAAGGAATATTCCCTTTTATCGGGGTGAAGGAATGTTCCCTTTTATCGGGGTGAAGGCAAGGTCTGTAACCCAGAACAGGAGGGAAGCTCAGCTCTGCTGCCTGGGTTGGCTTTGCTTCAGTTTGAGCTTTGCCTAAGTGGGTGCAGAAGGTGGGGACAGCATTTCTAAAGCAGCTGGAGGGTGGCCAGGAGGGTTCTGTGATTTTGGGAC